TAAGGATCAATTTCCTTCGATCAATTACCGGAACGTGGTGGGGAGCCCATCCGCAAGATCTTCTAACGTTGTACAGGACAACGATTTTATCGGTTTTAGAGTACGGTAGTTTTTGTTTCCAGTCGGCAGCTAAAACGCACATCATCAAGCTGGAACGGATCCAGTATCGTTGTCTTCGTATCGCGTTAGGATGCATGCACTCGACTCATACTATGAGTCTCGAAGTGCTGGCGGGGAAGTTGCAACAAGTTGCAGTCCGTTTTTCAGAGTTATCTCTAAGGCTCCTCACCCGTTGCGAAGTAATGAACCCACTGGTGATCGAAAACTTTGAAAAGCTTCTGGAGCTAAATCCTCAAACATGTTTTATGACTTTATACTACCTATATTGAACACAGGATGTCAGCCCTTCAAGAAATATTCCCAATCGTGTAGTCTTCTCTGATTTCAGCAATTCAGTGAATTTTGATTTAACTATGACGCAGGAAATCCGCGGAATTCCAGAGCATCATCGTCCTATGATTGCTCCGTCATTATACTGGGTGGGTTGTGGGTTCCGACAACCCACGTACTACAATTCTTATAGAATTTTGGGCACATACATAAATTCAGCAATGGACTAAGTTTTCAATAGTGACCAAAAATATCCATTTGTACCGTCCCAATGACACGTTCATCTAGATAAAAATGATAAATAGTAAATTTTTATCTATGGGCCCAATCTTAGATCCATAGGCCAACATTAGAGCCATTTCCCCTAGCAAACAAGGTTTTCGAAAATTAGGATCCTATCACGAATCAACTTCTTATTTCACCAAGTAGGTTTAAGATACGTAGATTTTATCTTATCTTTATGTGCACAAATAGCACAATTTTGCACGAATAGTTTACAAATCACCAGGATAGTTAAGTGATAGCTCGCGTAAGTTTTATTCAAGTAACCTGCTGTTAAGCCTATTTGTATAAATTTCACCTTTAGATTTAAGTTCAACATTGTGATTGCTAGATTAAGCTAATTCACGTATAATTTTTTATCATTGATCATTGTTCTGACCTCCAATGACGTTTTCTACCTCTCTGCCCTCTTCGTTGATCGTAGCTTGTCTGACCACAGTTGAAATGCCTCAACTGTTTACATCTCGTTGGGTTGGAGCCGAACAATTTGGGGTGGTATTTTTTTCGCTCTTGGTAGTTTTCAGAGCCAAATGGGTGATGAAAAAGTATTTTCGTTGGGTTTTGAAGAGAGATATTTTCGGAATATGTATGAGAGACCATAATGAATTATCGGTGAAAAAGGAGAGATGAAAATGTGAACGGTTCACAACTCACCGAAAAGTGCTTATCGTGCAGCTGAGTGAGAATTTCTATCTCTGGCTGAATGTATTCAAATCATTCCTTAGTCTTTCAGCTTCAATCTGATTAATTTTTTACGACCGAGCAAACCGTTATGCCAAGTTTTTCTTTAAATGAAATATATGAACTACAAAATGCGGCTGATTTGGCGTTACCGATAATAGAACAACTGGTTAACATACAGTGCTAATGGAAAGGTTGCCGAAGAAAATGCGGCTGCCGACAATAGTCACTCACCTGTAAAGTTGGGAGCGAACTGCCGTGCCTTCCGCTTAACCCCTTCAATTAAATTTTGCACAGTGGTCTCATCGACCTTATTCGCCCTCGAACGCCAGTTAGATTTAAACTGCTGCTCGTTTTCCATAGATTTATGAGTTTTTTTTTAAGATTCCGTTTGACCAAGGCCCAATACCGTTCGATAGGGCGGAGTTCTGGGCTGTTGGTAGCGTTGTGGTCTTTGGGTACCACACCCAAGTAACATTGCAAAACCCAAATTGTTACTTGGGCAACCACGTTGTTCGCATCGTACCATTCGATTGCCTTTTTCCCATAGTGGCAGCTCGCCAAGTCCGGCCAGAACAGCACAGGTCTATTATGTTGCTTTAGGAATGGTAGCAGCCGCTTTCCAGGCACTCCTGGACGTAGATCTCTTGATTGATGGTTCCCGTAGTAATTAAAATGCCGCTTTTAAGACCACACGTGCATATGGCCTGCCAGACGAGATATTTTTTCGAGAACTTCGATAGTTTGATGGTTTTGAAAATTTCAACGACCTTCCCTTTTCCTGATGCGGTATAAAACTCCTGTCCCGGAAGCTGCTTGAAATCCGCCTTCACATAAGTTTCGTCGTCCATGACGACACAGTCGAACTTTGTGAGCAGATTCGTATACAGCTTTCGGGACCGCTGCTTTGTCGACGTGTTTTGTTTGTAATCTCGGTTCACCACCTTCTTGAATGTCGACAACCCGGCTCGTTTCTTGGCCCGCTGCACAGTAGTATGGGAGACATTGAGCTTGCCAGCGACGTCCCGGATGGACAGGTTAGGATTCCGCCACCTTTTTCGAGAACATTGGTAATAAAGTAGAGTAGGAGCAATTGATTTTTGGGTATTGATAAATTCCGGATAAACCATCAAGCGGAATACCACAAACGTAACAGTTCTTATAAAAAACGTTCTGTTTTCGATAGTTCCTCACTATCCAAATATAACTCAGTTTTCTCAACAATTGTGCTTGCTTCAAAAAATCTAAATAGACGTATGGATTTAGGAAGGTCTATTCAACAAAATCCAAGTGTAATATTCAAAGGAAGGAGCAAAAATCCATCTTGGCTGAACATAAAAACCAAATTTTAACAAAAATACCTAGTTTTGTCTATTTAAAGCTGGCTTTGTGTGTGCTTAACAATCATCACTTCATCAAATTTAAGCATAAATTTCAAAGGATAGTATCACAACCCAACTTAGCAGAATGGTAAAACCAAATTTCGAAAAAAAAAATACTTTTCGAATTACAAACCCGGTTCAACCATAGAGGTAACTCTAAGACCACTGGGTCCCGAAGAAAATCATTATTATTTTTGGCTCACTCAGTACCAGAACAACGGTCCCAAGCAGTCCCAAGCTATTTCACTCACCCCTGCATGTTCTGCATGAATCCACACATCCCTGATGTTATCTGTCAAACTTTCATAGCGAATCAAAACAAACATAGTGTAGTAATAGAATTTCAACTAGAATAGGGTACGTTAATCGTTTGCTTGGGACCAAGAGGCTACTAAAGTGGTGAGTCAATTTAAATTCGTTAGTTTCGTATTGATTGTTGGTTCAACCTTCACTTATGGATTCAGCAAGATCCATTCTATAAAATAAAAGCCTATTTTTCAAAGATATAACCCAAAATGCAATTTCGCAGAACCGAAAAAACAAATTTCAGCAATTCTGTAAAATCCACGCCTATTTTTCAAAGGAAGAAACCGAAATTCAACTTGGCTGAACAAGAAACCCAAATTTCTATAAAAATGAGTACTTTTGAGAATTCAAACCCAGTTTTCTAAGAAAAAGTGCATGCTTCAAAAAATGTATCATCACGTATGGATTCAGCAAGATCCATTTTAAAAAAACCAAGTCTATTTTCAAAGATCGGAGCTGAAATTCAACTTGGCAGAACAGAAAATTAAAGTTTTTATGAAAATACGTACTTTTGTAATTTAAACTCGATATTCTCAAAAACTGAAGAAATTCAACCCTAACGAATGGTTTCAGCAACTTCTGTTCTATAAAATACAAGTCTATTTTTCAAATATAGGAGTCAAAACTCAGTTCAACAAAACAGAAAAATCATTTTTAATGAAAATACCTTCTTTTGTGAATATTAACCATGTTCGTTCTTCCGGTATTCAACAACTTCCATTCAATAAAATCAAAGGATGTGAATCTCACAAGAACGAGAAAGGGGTCTAAAGGAGCGGAATCTACGCTAAAAGTTAGCTAAATCACTTCAGGAAAGTTTAGACTAACATTAAATAAAATTCAATCACTCAAAAGAAAAGTTTGGACTCCTTAAAAAAGGTTATGAACCACTTCAGAAAAGATGTTACTCCATTTGGAAAATTTAAGCTCAACAGCGTTAGAATAGATGACCTAAACAAGATTGTGTATTTGCCAAATGCCAAAGCAGTTAAGAACAGTTCGAAAAAAGTTTAATCAATGCAGGAAACCTTTGATTCATTTGGGAAAGGGATTAAATCAGCTAATGTGGCCTCACTCCAGAAAATGCGAAACCAATTCTTTAAAGATTGGATTCGGGATTTGTTGAATCACTTCAGGAAAGCTTTGACAACTTTAAAAAGGATTGAATAACATAGCAGAAAAGTTTAGACTTAGTTAGAAAAATGTTGATGACTTATTTGAAAGTTTGAACTCACTGCAGCAGAAAAGTTCAGACTCAGTTAGGAATTTTCTGAATCGTTTCTGATGTGGTCTCACTTCTAAAAAATTGAAACCAATTTTGAAAAGATTGGATTCAGCTCGGAAATGGTTGAATCACTGTAGAAAATAATTGAATAATTTAGCATCATTGCAGCAGGTTTGTAAGTTAAGAAAATTACTGATTTCGTCTTGTTGTTAGACTGAACCAATGTTGTCGAATAATGAATCTAATACGTCGTTTATAAAGCCTTTACAAAGCATGTGATTACAACATAGACGCATAGTGATGTAAGAGATATTATGCTGACTGTATTCACCTTTATTCAGCAATATTGTAAAGCATTGCAATGCAATCTAATGATGGAGCTAGAAATCATTCATTAGACGTCTAATGAAGCATGTTTTAAAATCAATTGAAAACATTCGAATTAAAGTGGCAATTTATGTGCAAATTACACTTATTCAGTTTGTTTTTAGATCAAACTATCGATCTCAATGAGCTTTTTCAGCACATAATTCGACCACTCGTTTTATTCAGCATGGTACAAAGTTATACAGCATTTATTCAAAATATACGCTTATTTGTGTTTGTTGGGTTTAACTCCAATAATAATTACGATTAAGGAAGACACAGTCATTCACTGGATTTACCGCTGAGGTCGCCTCTAATCTCGACTTGCGATTGCAATTCGTTTCCACTATCAGTAGTGATCAAAGCTTCATCATGCACACATTGCTTCTGTCGGCGATCATCACGATAGTGGCGATTTTTCAAACCTGCTGCTGTGTCGATCAATCCAGTGCCTTTTCGTGTGGCGAATCAGGCTCGCCGGCGCAAATTCGCATCACGCACGGCTGGGACGCTGACAGTGCGATGTGGCCTTGGCATGCCGCCATCTTTCGGCGCGGGAACGATACCAACGATTACATTTGTGGGGCAACCCTGGTCGGTCAGCACTATGTCGTGACGGCAGCACACTGCGTAGTCAACAGGGCAACCGGACACAAGCTCAACCCGAACCTGCTTACGGTGCACTTGGGAAGACAATATCTGAATGAATCTTCAGCACGAGTGCAGGAACGGCCGGTGAAAGATGTCATCATCCATCCGCAGTTTTTGCATGTGGGTCTGAAGAACGACATTGCATTGTTAGCTTTGAAAACGAAAGTTCAATTCAACGAATATGTGCGGCCGGTTTGTCTGGATAAGTTGAGCCAAATCGATTTCAAGATCGATGACCTGGTGGAGAGGGATGGTGTGATCGTAGGCTGGGGGAAAACCGAAAGCGGTCATGTTTCGATGACACTGCAAACAGCCAGACTGCCAGTGATAGATCGCATCGCATGTTTGAATAGTGATCCACAGTTTTTCAGTCAATTGATTTCCTACGGAATGTTTTGTGCTGGATACGAAAATGGTAGACAAGAATGATTATACTGGGATTGTGCGCATAATCAAATCAGATGTTTTTGTGTTACAGGAACAAGCGTCTGTAATGGCGATAGTGGTAGCGGTATGTTTTTCCGTGAAGGTGAAAAATGGATGCTCAGAGGTATTGTGTCATTTTCTGGACTGAAGGCAGACCGAATATCGTGTGACTTCCACAAGTATGCGGGTTTCACCAACGTGCGGTATTATATTCCATGGATGCGGACCATTGTCAATGATGGCACGTCCATGATTGATGTATTGGATGCTAGTGAGATGGGGTAGGCTAGCGTGAATGCACTGCACTGAAGGTTCAGTTTCAGATAATTCGGTTTATTTAATTGCAGCATTTCATCAACAATCTATACCTGCAACTATGACGTCAGCGAAAGCTCGGACTGCAAGCTCTCCAACATTCATCTGGCTCAAGGAGCAACTGTTGGTTTTCACGCAAACAACAAATCGCCAACTCGTGTAACCCTCCAAAGATCCTACTTGCAGTTTTTGCCGAAAAGTCTGATTGTTGCTTTCCCTGCAATGGAATATCTCAACTTGGAAAATCTACGCATTAGAAATTTCGACCCGAATGCATTCGAATCTGCTGTAAATTTACTGTCGGTTAACCTACAGATGAATCGACTGGAGGAAATATCTCGTAATGCCTTCACGGGAGCACGTTCTGTAGTGCAGTTGGATTTATCGAACAATCAAATCGAATTCATAGACGAGTTTGCTTTCAACGCGATCGATCGCTTAAAAAATCTTAACGTGAGCAAGAATAAAATAACATACCTTCCAGCGTTTAGCAAGAATAACGATCTTGAGACAGTTAACGCATCATACAATCTCTTGAGCGATGTGTCCGATGATCACTTCGTAAGCAATAAGCAACTTCGCACCGTTGATATCGCGCACAATCGTTTGACTCATCTCGATCTAAAACAACTCGATGCCAGTACCAATCTAGAAACAATCTATCTAAGCTTTAACGAACTCAAACGACTGCACATTCCAAAACATGTTAAGCATTTGTTCGCAAAAAACAATTCCATTGAAAAAGTATCAGCTAGGAAATGCGTTGCTGAAACACTCCATTTGGCAGCCAACAAACTCCAGACTCATCTAGATGTTAGTAATTGCAAACTGCTTAGGTACCTAGATCTATCGAACAACCTACTGCAATCGTTTAGCTACAGAATCATAGCCCGAATGACAAAACTTCAAAGCTTATATCTATCGAATAACCTTTTATTGGAAATCGATCTACCTCTAAGAATAAGCCCGGTATCCGGTTTGAAAGTTTTGGACTTATCACATAACCGCATCATCCATGTACCATCGACTAACGCATTCGGTACGCTTGAAACCTTACAGCTCAGTCACAACGAGCTGCAGCAGTTTGATTTCAGCAAAATGAATCAACTTCAGAAAGCATTTTTGTCCAGTAACCAATGGGACTGCAGTGTACTACAAGGCATACGGGTGCAATTGAGTGATCGCGATCCGGATTCATGTGCGGAAGGATTCCGCAAAACACACGGTATCTGTTGCAAAGACTACAAGCAGCCATATGGTGACACGTTGGCAGCTATTACTCGAAACAATTTCATCCATGATCTGAGAACGATGCATAACTTGAAAGAACTCTGTTCGGTTCCTGCAATCAATAGAACCGTGGACCAGCAGACTCGAGAAAATCTAGAAAAACTTTCAAAAATTGCGAAGGTAAAAAATAACCTTCAAGCCAATCTTGATGCTACTTTGCAAGTCCGGTTGAATCTAACGAAAACATATGAAACGATCAGTGCATCCCTACAATCCGTGAGAGGTGAAACATCAGCAATTACCGACATAATCGAACGCCAAAGAAAGTTAGAAAACAGTGCTAATAGCGAAATGCTGACTCGAGACGGCAAGAGTGATTTGGAGGTGTTGCAAGAAATACTGCTATCCATGGTAGCAGCGAGGCGTTCTTCTTATAATTCGTTAAGAGACTACAGACAATATATAGCAAATATACCATACCGAATACATGAACTGAAAAGAGCTATACCGCAACTGAAGCATCACCTTCGAACCATGCATCAAGACCTGACCATGCTGGAACATAAAGAAAAATCTATGATTCTGCACTATCAAGGATTGTCTCGCATGGTTCAAAATGTAAATTATGAACGACCTCGATTCAATGCTGCAACCACTTCAGAGCAACAAAGCTCGCAAGGTGGCGTTTATTCTGAGCAAAGATATCGCTACGAATACCATTCGAGTAATATTGGGTGAAACGTCAAAACGAATTTTGTCAATATGAAGGCATCAATGGAACTTGTGATTTGTGATGTTTTTAGTTTTATGTTTGCTATGCAGTTGTTAGGTTTGATGTATAATATAATCATCGATATATTTACGAAATTAAGTAGAATTATAATTTTTTTCTGAATTCCTTGAAGCCAGGTTTTTGGTACTAAATACATCATTTGTGGTCCGTATTCTTACTACTCAGGCAGCTAGGAATTGAGCAGTTCCAGGCAAAATAGCGAAAAAATATTGAATTTTGAATCGACCTTCTCCGATGTGTATGAAACTTGGCGTAATTGTTTGTTATGGGCAATGATTCACATTTTTCATCAGGGTATGCGATATGAGCTCGATATGAAACGAAACGGATTACAATAACTTTCTATGTCTCATTAAAGTTGATGAGCATCTATGGAAATTGTAACAAATGGCCGTCTGGCATACACTACATGACAGGGATGAGCCACAAAGGGTGACTCTTCCCCCAGAGGCTGATGAGACTCGCCTTTTGACCACTAATCTCTAGGGTAAGCATGCTTATCCCTTACTTTTTCACGGATCAGGAGAATACTCGGATTGCCATCTAAACGACTCTTTACTTAAGTGTACATGTATTCTACACCCACTTTCTTATGTTAATCTTACCTGTTTTCTTCACTTTCTACTGTCTTTTTTTTTATACAGGGGGGAATCTGCTCACAGACACCTGAGAAGGAACTCAGGGTGTGGGGATGGGAGAATTTCACTCCCGACCCACTAAACCTTACCCTGTGCGCTTGGCCCTTGACCTCCCCGGAACCGCCCGAAGGCATTACTTCGTGGGAGGGGCCGCTGTAGCGCTATGGCGCCTCTCTAGCAATACTCTAACGATCTGGTCGGGCAGTAGGTAACTGCTGCTCGGCTCGCCACTGTCGTTGTAATACCGAAACTATGTGGGTGACCGCAGTCACCACCGCGCTCCAGTTCTCGGTGGTACCACACATCCTATGAACGATGTTATCCGGACTGGTATCCACTCCGCATATCGCTAGCATAGCGCTCGATACTGGCTCGAAACGTGGACAGGCAAACACGACGTGTTCGGCGGTCTCCTCGACACCAGCACATGTGGGGCAGATGGGAGTACTTGCATGTCCGAACCTATGCAGGTAGCTCCTAAAGCAGCCATGGCCTGACAGGAACTGTGTCAGGTGGAAGTTTACTTCCCAATGGCGCCTGTTGACCCAGCTTGATACGGAAGGTATCAAGCGGTAAGTCCACCTCCCCTTTGTGGAGTTTTCCCACTCCGATTGCCATCTCGCGGTCGACACAACTCGCGCGTTGTTGCGCACCCCTCGAACGGTCCTCGCATCATAGCACGCCACATCCTCCTTAATGATAAGGCTGATTGGCATCATCCCTGCTATGACACAGACGGCCTCTCTCGAGATAGTGCGGTATGCACTGGCCACCCTTAAGCACATTAGCCTGTGTGTACTCTCTAATTTCTGCCTGTGGCAGTCAATATCCAGTACCGCAGCCCACGCAGGGCCGCTGTATCTGAGGATAGATACTACGACCCCAGCAAGGAGCCTGCGCTTACTGGCATTCACTGCCGAGCCGTTTGACATCATACGGGATAATGCCCCCACAGCCATAGACGCTCTCTTGCAGGCGTACTCGACGTGGCAGCCGAAGCTGAGCTTATCGTCGAGCATGACCCCCAAGAGTTTTAGAGAGCGCACAGACCTAATTGTGCTTCCGCCGACTGTCAACGTTGCATGCTGTACTGACATGCGATTGTTGACTACGACCACTTCCGTCTTGTGATGGGTGAGCTCCAGTTTCCTGGTTCTCATCCATTCCTCCACAAGCCTGACGCAGTGGGCCGCTGTCAGCTCTATCTCCTCGAGGGATTCCCCGCAGACTACCAGCGTGACATCGTCGGCAAAACCTACAATTTTCACGCCTACCGGGAATTTTATCCTCAACAGTCCATCGTACATGACGTTCCATAACACCGGGCCCAGGATGGGAGTACAAGTCTGAAAAACAGAACGGAACATGTCTGGATTTTCCGCAACGGCCGCCCTCAGAGCCGCAACCGGGATCCCATCTGGGCCCGGGGACTTGCCCACCACCAGCGACCTGGCAATACCGCCAAGTTCACTGTTCGTCACTCTAGACACTTCTCCCTGATCCGCGCCTGGGATCCGCGGCCAGGAGTCTACGTCCCTACGCGGGAACAGGAACCCAACGATCGGAGCCAGTACCGCTGGTGATCTCTCCGGGGGTGCCGTCACGCCGCGGGTCTTTGCCATGACCACTTTGTAAGCATCCCCCCATGGGTTCGTGTTGGCGCTTTGGCATAGGCTGTCAAAGCAAGCGCTTGCGTCTGGCGATCTGTTTATTAAGGGCTGCCTTAGCCGCTCGGAGAGCGACGCAGCGTTCCTCCCGAGATTCAGTCGTACGAGCTCGTTGCATCCTCCTTCTCGCCTGGAGGCAAGACGCCCTGAGGATAGCAATCGACTCGCTCCACCAGTACACCGGTCTATGGCCATGTCTGGGATAGGCTCTCCTAGGCATGGTTGTATCGCACGCCCTTGTCAGTGCTGCTACCAGTTCTTCCCCCGTCAGATCCGGGGTTATTCGCTCCCGCCTCAGTGCTTCGCCGAAGACCTCCTCCTCGAAGAACGACGTCCGCCAGCCTCGAGCGCAGGAAGAATTTCCTCCTGCCACTCGCCTCTCACCCGGCCAAACACTGTACCGAATCGCCTGATGGTCACTATGAGTGTAACCCTCATCGACCCTCCAGTGTAGGTTGCCCTCCAAACTCGGGCTGCAGTATGTCACGTCGATGACGGATTCTGCACCATTCCTTCTGTAGGTACTGCTTGGCTTGGCCATTGCCTCCAGTAGGATGCATCCTCTCTGGTTGGTGTGGTGGCTACCCCACTCTACCGCCCATGCGTTAAAGTCGCCCACAATGACCACCGGTCTTAGGCCGACAAGTACCGCAGTAATTCTGTCCACCATCTGCGAGAATTGCTCGATAGACCACCTGGGCGGAGCATAGAAGCTACTTAAGTATACTCCATTAACCCTGGCGATCACGAATCCCTCGCTCGAGTTGGACACGACTACCTCCTGAATGGGGAAGCTCCCCATCGTGCATATCGCCGCCATCCCCGACGCATCCGTGACCCAATTCCCGTTGCCGGTTGGGACGCGGTACGGGTCAGAGATGATTGCGACATCCGCTCCCCATTCCACTGCCGATTGCCACAGCAGTTGCTGGGCAGCCGAACAGTGGTTCAGGTTCAACTGCGCTACCTCGAACATGGCTGAGCATTGCTATTTGCCTTAGCAGCATTGCTCTTGGACCCCGGGCAGCGGGGGCCACCTGCCATGTGGTTGGTAGGGGTATTCCCCTTCTCCGCGCATATAGTGCACCTCGGCGGCTTTTGGCAACCTCGCGCCTTATGGCCCTCCGAGCCGCACCATCTGCAAAGCTTGCTCCTGTCGGTGTTCTTACAGTCACGGGCCACATGACCCTGACCAAAGCACCTAAAGCAAGCCGTAACCGGTCGGGGAATACTGACGGGGCAGACCGACCAGCCCACTCGCACCCTCCCTGCGGCTACCGCCTTTCTGGCCTCAGCTGCAGAGAGCCTGATGGTAGCCACTTGGGTGGAGAACATTCCCTTCCTCAAGGTAATCGCTGATTGCGGTACCTCAACTTGACACTGTTCCCGGAGCGCCGTGACTATCTCGGTCGCCTCCGTCACTTCGTCCAGGTCCTTGACCTGGATGGTGATAGTCGAGCCTAGCGACTTCACCTGCACCCCAGAACCAACAACCTCCTTTGCCAGTTTCTGGTAGGTTGGTCCCTGGTCCTTAGCACCACGTTTGAGCACCAGGAACATCTCGCCTGTACGAGTGCGCCTGATGCTCCTCACGTTACTGCCCATCTCCACAAGGCGCTCGTCCGTTCTCATTTTCTTCAAGACTTCCGCGTATTTCGACGCGTCCGTCTTGAAGATGAGAGCTTCGCCCTAGTTCCTGGTCCGGGCAGCACTGCTCTTGGGGGCAGTTTTTTCCGGGGGTTTCGGGGGTTTTGGGAGTTTCGGGGGGGCACTCTTCTTAATGCCAGTGTGTCAGTATACATACTTGCGATCTTACTGACATCGATCGCAAGGCACCTTCCGGCGCTTCCCCTCGTTTGTTGTTCGATTAGCCGACTGGATCAGTACCGCAGCACTAGTGGTCCATCGTTTCCAGGGTGCACCACGGGGAGGCGAACAACTTCACACCCCTCACTTTCTACTGTCTGTTGGGGACCGTTCTTCGTTCCGCTACCACACTTGCTGCTGTCTTCTCCTTCCTTTTCTTCGGTTTCGGCTTCGTTAGTATACCGTTTACCGAGTCGTTCGCGTACTACTCACTATTCCGCGACGCTCAAGGCTAGTCAAGATGGCGACGTACACGGTCAGTGTTTGAAATTTTCACTGTTTACTGAATAATTCACGTGTATTTCCGTAATCGTTGGACCCCCATGTGTCAGTAAACTAAACTGATTTCTTTATGTCGGCGAGACGACGAATCATAGCTCATAAAGAACTGGGTACTGCGGACTCACGCAATGTGCTTGTCACTTGGGAGCCAGTCAGAACTGTCAAACTCAGTTACTGTTCTTACCTCTCGCCAAGCATTGCAATCTCATAAAAATGATTCATACTTTTTCATAACACATTCTTAATTGTAAGCTCAAAGACAAAAACCAACAGGCTCAATGATGAAAGTATAAAAACCAGCATAGTTTTTATGACTCAACTGAGAAAGAACAAAACCATTTTAAACTTGAACAAATTTTCAAACAGTTTTCCATTGGCTTGCAAAATGAAATCGATTTACTCCGCAGTACTCAGATAAAGAAATAGATGAAAAAAAAATTTCTACTGACGGTATCATCGAAAGAATCTTTATATTCGTGTGTACCATTCGGCATGGATTGTGTGCGTTATAGTACGTTCAGACGAGAGAGTTATAACATGTTATAGCGCTATCTTGATGGTGGTTTCTGTGTTGCAATAATTTGACAACCGTTATAACATGTTAT